ATAAAATAAATAACTAAAAATAAATAATGAATAACTAAAAATAATAAATAAATAAATAAATGATATAAATAATATAAGAATAAGATATAAAATATTACTCCGGATTTTCAGGGTTATTGATCAGCAAATTAAGGTCCAATTCGCATTCCGGTGACAATATTCTCTCTGGTTTTCTGTGGCTGCCAGTCCCTTCAGTATCTTACATTTGAGTTCAAACAGGAGTATGTCACCATTCAATGTAAAAGATCCATTCCAAAATCCAAATTTCACGAAGGAGCAAGTACAGTTATTATATAGAAACTTTGCACATGACTATGATTTCATTATTGATCTGGCAATAATTGAAGACATTTACACATGGACAAATGGGTATGTGAATTTTATCATAGTCACATGACAAAACAAAAAATCAAAAATTTGCTTTCCATGATTCTTTTATTTGACAGACATGCTGGCCTAGTATGCCTTTGCAGAAAAGCTATTTATGTAAATTTAATAAGGAAGCTTGATGAAAGAAGAAGGCTTGACTTTTTAACCTGGTTAAACTTCACCATTAGTTCATTGCAAAAATCAGTACTAGATTATGCCACCTTTAGAAAGATGGTCCATATACTTACCAAGGATAAAGCCAGGAAAGCCATGCAACTTATTCGATCTACATTCATAGGATTCTTTGATTTAGTACAGATTGTTGACAATGAAGAAAGAAATTTAGCAGAATTCTTAACAGCTGAGGGTGTGCTAATTAGGGATGAAGAGACCAAAGATAGATTTAAAATGTCATCTGTTTTTGTAGATGAGCTGGTTCGACAAAGGGTCATTCCTGAATTATTCAAGTCCTCCCCAACAGTTGCAGTTCCTGAAAAACACGATGGATTCCTTGATACTGTCAATGTTTTGAAGACAGTTGTCCAATTCTTTGACCAAGACATCATTTCTAGAGTATACTATCGGTCATTTAAAACAGCACATAATGTATATGTTGTGAGATTGTAAATAAGGACTGAGGAAGTCCCAAGCATGTTGATCAATCTAAACCAACTTACTGCGGTAGTCACGTGATAATGATATTATTTTCTATTTTTATATTAATATTTCGTGTAACAACTACGCCACATACCGTGTCATGTTACACATTACATCATTTCTATTTTTAACTTATTTTATGACATAATTATTTACTTTTAATTATTAATTCAATTATTTGTAATAGTGACTCATAGGATTAGTCATTATGAGTCATAGCATTAGTAATTAATGATTAGTAAGCTAGTATTACAGAAAATAGGATTAATAAGCATATATTATTGGACAAAATATTGTAAAGGTCATGTTATTTGTAATACCTCAAGAGGTATAAATAGGCTTGGTTTTAGACCAAGTGAGAATCATCATGTTCAGGATACAATAATAATAATAATATAATAACCTTGTAACAGAAATATTATCGCTAATAAAGACACATAACATCTTTACAATAAAACATTTGAACTCTTAATAAACCCTTTGATAAACCTTTGCTGAAAAGCATACACCATCTTAAATTAAGACCATACTAACTAAGGAGCGCCTTAGTCAGACAGTGGAACATTTATTGATTATTTTTAGGCTTTGCCAGCAGTACTTCCATTAGTACTGTAGAGAGAGATTGTGCAAGAGAAAGAGAGATTTGAGTAGGCTCTTAGCTGTGTGCAAAGATAGAGGCCTGGGAATTTGAGAACCCTTAGCTGTGTGCAAAGATAGGGAGATTTTTATATTGGACTTTTATTTATTTTATTTTATTTTATTTTATATATTTATTGGACACAACCCAAGCTGTAATTGAATTTACACGCTCGCAATGTGAAAGGTCAAAAAAACAAGCATGTTCCCTGAGAAAGTGTCTATGATACAGAGATGAACAGGATCTTAATCAACTGGATTTCCAAACAACGTACAGTGTGGATCATCTATACTCAAAAGTTAAAATTTTTGAAATATTATGTGATCCACACATCGGATTTTAAAAAACTTACCACC